ATTGGTTCTTGGTTCTTGTTTTAGTAGGAATACCACCACTCGCTTTGAGGCATTTACATCCAGCTGATAAATTTAAAATTGTCTGAAACGTGCATCCTGGATTCCACTGATAGCCACTACCTATGATTAATTCTTTACTATTGCTGTTCTTCTCCTACTGCTTTGCTTTGAAGTGTATTAATTTGAACCGATGTACCATTATATTTGGCTCTGACCTGTTTTTCAATAACCCTTAAGTTAACAATTGGCTCATATTTTGAAGACTAGTTCATGTGAAGCCAATCGTACATAGACAATATTCGTTAAGATACATTAAAAAAATGTTTATCTCACAGCCTCATGCGAATTGATATATGATTTAGAAGTAGTATTCATCATGGACTGAAATCAGTTGGGGAACCATTGAAAATCTGGGAGCACTGGACAGCTGTCTCGTCCTAGTATGGGACTCCTCAGCAGTACGCACCCACAACCCGGCTAGGGGTCGAACTCAGGACCTTCAGGTTTCACGGCGAACTCTATAACCATTCAGCCACTCGGTCGGTTTCCAATGGTTCACAATTTCCAACTTCTGTCAATTCACGACATAGTGCGACTGTCACCCAAGGTCTTCCTTCAGTTAGCATCCACCTCACTTCCGACTGGTTAGCCCCACAGGTTACGGCTATGTCATGAATTGACAGGAGTTGGAAATTGTGAACCACTGGAAACCGACGCGGCGGCTGAATGGTTACAGCGTTCGCCGTGAAACCTGAAGGTCCTGAGTTCGACCCCTAGCCGGCTTGTGGGTGCGTACTGCTGAGGAGTCCCATACTAGGACGAGACAGCTGTCCAGTGCTACCAGATTTTCAATGGTTCCCCAACTGATGTCAGTCCATGATGAATACTACTTCTAAATTAGAAATCCCCATTCATCTCAAAAATACATTGATATATGATTATTTAAATTCGTGTAATCTGTTTGTGTTGTCGTTACGGAAATAGTTAGATTCCTGTTTTTAAAGTTTATCACACTATAAAACTGTGACTTATTGATCCAAGGATTTGACTTTCAAGGAACAGGACACAGGTTTCAGTTCCCTACTGGACCTACAGAGATATGATCAGTCAGCTATTAGCCGTCAAATAATAAACAGGTCCAGAGTCACTTTTTCCCCGACTTATTCTTAACTTGTACAATCGCATACATACATTGGACTTATTTAGTAACATAGGAGGAATATTTCCAAATGAATTTGAAAAAGCTTCAGTTTTCAATGATGACCTGGATATTCAAAAAGGAATTACATAGTCTGAAAATACTGATCTACCGAAAGCTAAAACAGGATTATGTAATTGAGATAGGAAAATTGAGTGTAGTTCAACAGTGGAAAATTAGATTGGTAAGTTAGAAGTATATGTCATCAGTAGAAAAGACGTAGTAGAGGGAAGAAGAAAACACAGTTTCTAAAGGTAAAATCTTCACACAAGTTTAGTCCATTGTTAGTGTTATAACCGAAAAACTTCTTTTGCATACAGAATTCAAACTTTAAAGTATATATCACCGTGGCTTCCTCAGTTTGAAGAAGCTTTATTTGTACAGCCGTTATAAGATTTCCTTGTAGTTCGTAGATGACACTGAAGTTAGATTGTAAGTCCTCTTGTTGTCCAGAATCGTTCAAATATTCTAAAAATGAGTTACATCCATCTGATGAGTCCCAGATAAGGCGAAACGCTCTTCTTGGATTCCATTGCTAGTCTCCACCCATCATTAATATATAATTAGTTATGTTTTAATTTACTCAGTGGTGCGAAATAGTACGAAATGCATAATGAACGATCAGGCAATATCGATTAATTTGCATTGTAGCGCGTATGTCAACAGAGGTAGATCAATTTGACTTAGAATAACAACAGGAAATTACAAGCATCAATAAATTGTAATTACTTAGATTACATTGACTTTATTTATTAGCGCAAATTTTAAAACCATTCTTTTTTTGGTTATAATGAGGGCGTTTCGGTGCACACTTTCTTTGTGACTAAATCACTAAGGTGATATTGACTAAATAAAGTAGTATTGAGTGGTTATTAAATTTGCACAGGCGTATATCATGTCTTGATAGGTTAGGTATTCATTCTTTGAACACAAATTAGGTACACTGTATTACGTTTTAATTATTGTTCTTCAGTGAGTTTATGAACTCACAAGATCAGATATCGTGTGATTATTTACAATGATAGTGTATAGTCGTATGCACATATTGTTGCGAGTATGATTATAATTGTTCATTTCAATGTTCAGGTACTCCAATTTACCATCGGTTAAGTAGTGTGACAATACTTAACTCCTTCGTTGATCTGGGGTATACAGATTACAGTCCTGTTAGTCGAAGAAGCTGATTAGATACAGAGTCCGCTGAATGCTACAAGTGACTAATCGAGTGTATTTGGTATGCATTTCTCACCACCCAAATACAAATTTTTGCTCCAGGACTGGTCTGCGTTGTCTAACAATATTGAGAGTTGTTGAATGGGTTGACTATTTCATTTACTTGGGAAGTCAAATCAACCTTGGTGGGTTAGTGGTTGACTAAATCTCCTCATGGATACAAAAGGTTCGATCGGGTTTCGCCAACGTACACCATTTATGGTACCACCGTGATATCCCTTTTTTTATTGTGTGTCAAGTGCATTATACATGGCGGTTCGCTCTGTTCTACTATACGGCTGCGAAGCATGACCGACAAAGGTGAATTAACCGAAAAGGTTTCAAGTGTTCGAACATCGTTGCCTTCGTAGCATAGGATATTCATCGTAAAGTCGCCACAGCAGTAATGCAGAAGACAGGCTTAGAGTTTTTGGAGAGAGGAGGAAAGTCAGTTGATGAGATTGTGAACCGCCATCCACTCAGGTGATTGGGAAACGTGCTACGCATGCCTATTCTTCGTCTTCCGTATTGCATATTGTTAGGTTCAGGTTGGATAAAGGTTAGAGGCAGTCAGACTACAAGATGAAATTAATCCATCAAGTCTTTGACTATTGGTTTAGGTGGCGTAGGGAAATGCAGACTTGCTAGTTGGGGTCTGCGCGATAACATAACCCAATGGTTAGAGACTCTTTATGATATGGCTCATAATCGTTATCAGCGGCGCGGATGTATCCACGCGTTATCGTTATCTTAATCATCACAGCTCACTTCGTTATTGTTTTACCCTCTTTCCTATGACTTCCTATCACTTTTGACTACTTTCCTTCTAATTTATTTATCATTGATCTTGATGCATTGTTGTTTGATGTGCTTATGTGAAGTGTAGCAACTCGAACCGTTACGCCCTAATATCTAGTCTCATGTTCTTATTAACTGTCTGATTGAATTCCCGTCAGTAGAAAGATAGCTAGCTTTTTTTTGATGAACCACAGTCAACGAAATGGGTGATATTTGTTTACCTCGTGCTATTTTCAATGCATAAACTTGTAAGCATTCGTAGATAATTATTGAAGGTTTTCAATCAATGCTAACCATGCGGCTATAATTCTGTTTACTACCTATTTCATTTATTACCATTTTAATAATTTAAAGATTCCCATAGATTATTCAGAACAAGAATAGTTCAAGTGAACAATTGTTTTCAATAGCTTCTTCTCCAGGCTCTACATGCGAACAGGTGAAATACAATAGCTAAAATAATGACATGATGTAAAATTATTACAATATTGAAAGAGTCTGTGTTGTGGGGAAATGGAGATCAAATGAAGTGGAATGGTGGAATGATAATTAGTCTAGTATGTTAGTTGTGCGATGAGATCAATATTGACAGAACTGTTACAAAATAAGGAGACAAAAGCTGGAGATATGCATTTACTAAAGGTCAAATAATCACTATGTGGCGATAAATTATATTCAAGTAGGGTGAAAATTATGTGAATGCTATGACGAAACAAAGAATAACATTTGCAAAATGACTATCGATAGTGATATGAATAAACAGAGGTATAGAACTAATAACATAAGAAAACGAATGTTTATCATATCATATCATAAGAGAAAGGGATGGGAGGTTAAACTGTGAAATTTGTTGTAAGAAAGTTCATAAAGAATGTGTCAACCCTATTGGGGGCCGAGATAGACAAAGTGGATGTGCATAATTCTTTTGAACACATAGATCAGGTCTTCTTGCGTTGACCCCTATGGCTTCGTACATGGATAAGATGCCTAGTCTTGGGGAGATTGCAAGGGATATGATATATCACAGAAAAGGCGTGATCTACCCTGATCTAATGTCCAATATTTACCACTTTCTTATGTTTTACGCGTGAGGTCGATGTTTGTCAGTATACACAGCTGATTCCCAACCAGTCGGTTCAAATGACCCACGCTACCTTCTGAGGTTTAAACGGCCAGTTAACAGTATTACCCTTTTTACAGTAGGTGTAACTGACTCCTCCATTCCATGAAGGTGTATGTAGTTACTGAGTTATACATACGTACACGTGTTTGGCTACATTTGTAACTTGAAATATATATATGAATCGGGATCTAAATCCACTCAGCAACCTTGTGCACATACGTTCAGTAGGCCATGACTCACATCTATTGTATGATGGCCAATGATACTACCTGGCTTTTCACACATCGGTAGGTGGAGTGATGTTCGACCTTATAGCTGCTGGTTGAAAGTCAACTCCGTAAACCAATGAGTGATAGCTGTTGTATAGACATAAGTAGGAAAGTGTGAACCATTCGACTACAACCCAGTGTCCCGATGGTAACGCGCTCGTTTCGGGAGCCGAAAATCCTGAGTTCCATCCGTGGTAGTATCGTGGATTTGCACTGCTGAGGAGTCCTGTGATAGGACAAGACAGATGTTCAGTGCTGTCAAGTTTTCATTATTTCTTCAGATGATATCAGTCTTTGTGTTAAGTTTTCCTTTCAACTCTTACTAAACAGTTATTAACTTTGCTATTAATTGTAGATTATTACATTATTTATTTTATTTTTGTTTGGGTTCCTGCTTTAGAGGTTATTCAAACTAACAGGAACTCAAATATTCTTGAAACCAATCCCAATTACGCATATGATATTTCCGCAATCCCTCAGACGGTAACTACGACAGCAGATCCGATGACGATGTCGGATACCAGTTATGCTATGAAACATGATGGTACAACTATGTAAGCATTTGTAGTATACCGTTTCATTTAAAATTGTTTATTAAAGTGTTTATCATGTTGTGGGCTAAATTTTTGTGTACAATTACGATGGCCTAAACTACACAAAAACTTTCTTCTCTTCACCTTTAAACAATATTCACATATACACACGTCACTCGGTATTTCTAGTCATAGACCAGTTTATCAGCAACAGTAACTGCTTTTCAAAAGATTTCTATTTCCTATTGCTCATTTCTAATTTATACAATCATTGAATGTAAGTCTAGTTTATCTTCGCTACTCTCACTCTCTCTGGCTTCGAAAGAAAATTCTAGTCTTTTTTTGTCTATCGTACGACAGTTGTCAGTCACTTTTCGGTAATGAACATTTCAAGGGAGGGAATAATAGATTCCATATGGTAACTAGCATCGTTTCTGTACGTTTCACATGCGAAACCTTACAAGGTATGTGCCACAATTAAAATACACTCAATACTATAGAATATTTTCTTTTTTACGCGTTTTTAATCTTGAAATATTCTCAGGAAATGCATTGACGAATTTCGAAGAGTTCAACTTATCTCTATCACTGCAGTAACAAAATCAACCATAATATCCCAGTACTTTTTCTTTTCTTTCATCCTTACTAATCCGAAGAAGTAAAGGTCTAGCCAGATTTTTATTGTCATTGTCTGTGGGCTACAATGCTCTTTCGACAGAGACAAATTCCACTCCAGTTGTAGTATTTCTGAATAAGACTTTGCATAATGCAGGTTCAGCAGATTTAATGGGTTGCTTGCCTGCAGTGATAACTGTTAGCCAACACGTGAACTATTTAAAGCGCTATTCTAATTAGCTTGACATTTTCAGATCTCATAGTAGTAGTTTCTCGTTGATGCATTGAATATTTCCATTAATGCTTGATGATGAATATGATGAATATCAACTTGAAATCAATAAAAAAAACCCATAAGTCTTCGAATTGAAATACTCTTGTACTTGGTGACTTACTTCAAAATGAGTTTCTTAAACTTCTAATGAGAGGTCACAACCTTTGGGTCAACCAATTCAGACGTGAGGACACTTGCTCAATGATGGCATTGGATGGAGGTCATGCCATATTGTGAACTGGCAGAAATAAGAAATGGGGACCATTGGATGCCAACTGTGTGACCCATTAGTAACATGCTGGCAGCAGAACGTGAAGGTCCTGCGTTTGACCTCTGGCGTAGAGGGGTTATGGAGTGAGCACTGCTGAGGAGTCCCATACTAGGACGAAACAGCTCTCCAGTGCTTCCAGGTTTCCAATGTTTCTCCAACTGATGTCAGTCTATGATGACTATCAACCTGAAATGAATAAATAAATCCCTACAGCTTGTTTAGTCAAGTTAACAACGTCCTATCATAAGCAGGTAGTCTTTTCGTCCTTCTTTACTTGTGCAATTTATTCCGCTTAAAAAACCTACACCGACCTGTGTTTAAGTTGAATTATTCATATATTTGGCTGAAGTATGTTCGTATTTGCTTTGTGTGGTTTTCAATCTTTGACCAAATAGCAACAAGAATGGTTCTAATAGTTTATTAGTAAGTTGCTGAGATATTTTGAAACCAACTGGTTTGTATGTATGTGTGTGAAACCTATTAATTTGTTTACTCTTTCTTTGGGCCTCTAATTATGTCCTGAATATGCTTCTCAGTGTAATTTTCACTTTTGATAATTTGAAACAACTATGAATTTCATCATCTTCGTAGATATGGTTCTGCTGTACCAGGACACTATACTACTTTGCTCATTTGTGTATGAAGTCAAATGCATAGGTCAAACTAGCCAGTCGGGTTCGTTAGATTATCAGGACAACGAAATTTAGGCAAATGTAGAATGATAGTCCTTAATAGGATTAATAGCTTAGAAAATACTCGGCTGTCCTACTGCATGCACTGATGCACAAGCGTACACTAGATTGGGGTTGAAACAACTATACTTTAATTCAATATAGTAAGGTGGAGAGAGAGAGACTCATTACGGAATCTTTGTTCATAAAATCAACAGCCAACATGTACAGTGAGAATGATGCAACACCTTTGCCAGAGATGTGGACAATTTTAATCTCATTAAATAGTGCTGTCGGTGCTTCTTGTTGACTATCCTCGGGAGGTGATTTCTGAGGTTCCAATCAGAAGTTGTGACCAGTGGGATCAAATAAGTCAAAGATGAGGACAGTTCCTGAACGATGGCATTGGGTTAGAGGTCATGCTATGTCGCGGACTGATGGAAGTAGGAAATACGGACCACTGGACTTCAGCCCACTGGCTCAGCTTTAATGCGCTGGCTGCGAAAGTTGAAGGTCCTGCATATGCACTACTGTGAAGTCCCATATTGTGATTGAACAGTTGCTTGCTGCTCTCAGGTCTCATTGCTTCTTCAAATGATATCACTCTGTGCTGAATACGAACTTAGTATCGATGGTACAGCTATCGAGATCAAGGTCCGTTATCAAGTGAGTTGTCTGGGCCACATGTTTTTATATTTTAAGTAGGTAGACAACAGAGTTAATCTGAATAATCAGAGATATGACGCTTTAGACTATGCGGAAGTTGCAGTCTATGTTTTGATTTATTCAAAAAATAGCAGTGTATTTATTTCTTCTTGTGATTTCCCGTTGCCTATTACTCTGAACCAAATTGATTGATTTATTTCGGCTCCTTAAAACGATACTTTGTGATATTATCTCAAGTTTTATTTTGATGTTAGTTGTCTGATGGTGACTAGGACTTGTCAACTGGATACACATGGGTCCCAGTGAGTGGTGGTGTTCCTGGTGGGATTCAAGGCCAGAAACCTTGTTTTCAAACTCCAGGGCGTTCTTCACCAAGCTGCTGGGTTACCAGAGTCACTACCTATGCGTCATCTGTGGTTTGATGTGATAGCTTGTAGCTTCTTGTCGTTGATTGGACCCAATTGATCGGCTTGGAGTTCTCCGGTAGAAGCCAACTAATAAATATCTTTAATTAGTGTATTTGGCAGATTGGTATTCATTTGATAAGTCCATTCACTTTTGAATGTGTTCTAAGCCTTGAAAAAAGTGTAATCTTATGTCTCATCATCATCTTGTGTCTACTTATTCCTTGTCTTGTGACATTATTGCTTTAGTTCATTCTGTTTGTTAGTTACCTTTATTGACTATCTCCTCCATTTCACTACTCTATAAAATGAGGACATGTGTTAAATGTTGGGAATCAAGTGACAGGAAGTGCTGAACCTATGTTTTCGACTTGTGAGCACTTGACAACAGCAACCATGAGGTAACTGGTGTTCCGTCGGTGATTTGAACTTGTGTCAGACACTTATCCACTAAGCTATTCAGGCCATGACTGACCCTTTGTATGTCTGAATTATGTACACCACTTAGTCACTCATCGTTAATCCATCTCATATAGCTGTTCAGTCCTTAGTCTATCCATCACGTTTTGCAATATGGCCGCTAGGTGAACTCATGCAATCCTGCAAAATCTAGATCCATGGCATTCTGTCGATTGTGACCGTCACCATCTAACATCTAAATACAGTGTACTGCAGTGTTATGTCAATTCGTTAAGTGGTCACATCGCAAAACTTGACTGATAGACTTCTATCAATGCCGAGCACTTAGGACTAGACAGCTACATTTGTTACTCATTGGTGACCAGCCATTATCAGTGAATATATTCGATGTCATGTTCTCCCAGGTTTTTTACGTTACAATATCCCTTGTCTTTGTGAACAGTGTTTAATATTTCCCCTTTTATACCGCATTCCGCTTTGTAGTCGTATGTTTATCATGAATTATGGTAGCTTTTTTCTTCTTCAAGAACTTGTTCGGTCAAATTTATTGCTTTAGTCTCCCCAGGTTTGTTTATTTTCTATGCTATTCACCTTTATGAAAGAGCCAAGTGGCTTACTACTACCAGTTGGTGAGGTTGATAAGATGCGATAAGAATATCGATGAAGTTAATTTTATAGCATTTCATTTCTAAGGTACTTTGTCCTGATTTATGTATATGCATAATCAGTTGCCTATCTCTTCAGATTATTTTTCTAACGTCGAATAAACAAAACGAATTGGTTTTTTATACTGTCATGGTTATTATAGGTCAATTAATGGTGCTAAACATGTGTTCTATTATCGATGCAGACGTTTTTCTGATCATACAAGAACTAATATTAGCCTGTCTATTTACCTCTTCATTATAAGCATAACTATATATATATATATATATATATATATATATATATATATATATATATATATATATATATATATATATATATATATAATTACACATTATTTGTTGTACTTTCAGATACTGTATTTGTATCTAAACAAGCGATTGCATCAATGATTTTAAAGTATTCAGTAATGGTGAAGGTATCCTTATTTAGGAGGTTGATATTAGTTGTAGTGATTCTTGAGTGTCACATACTATTGTAACTGCTCATTCAAGTGCATCTAGCCCTTCCAAAGTCTATATCATACGTCCGTTTATCTATTATGGACATTTCACTTTAAGTTAATGCATGTTCAAATCAAATTCAATAGGTAGTTTGTGAGAATTGAGTGTTTTCAAGTTAGGATTCACGGATCCACATCATTTGGATAACCTTTTGACACTTGGGAGCAATTGGGCAACTGTTTATTCTTAGCATGGGATTTATACTACTAGTAGTATGCATAGAGAGACGTTCAGTATTTAATCTTCATTTTACTATTGCATTGAGAAGAAGGAAGAAAGAATGTTGTCTAAGAAGCTTGCGAATAACTCGTCTTGCATTCTATTCAGTTGGCAACTCGCAGACATAAGTGAAGCGTATTCAAATGCCGTGGTGTTCAAACGGTAAGGTATGCAAAAAGGAGGGACTCTAAAGGCTACACTAGGTTGCTTTATTCTATGAGAAACTGCCCGCCCGCTCAAAATTGTCATACCTGATTGGTTATTCCAGCAGTTTCTGTGGCTATCCTTTAACTTACTCGCAAAAAGTCGGAA